ACACAGTCGCTCTTTTTTTTTTTTTTTTCTTGTACGAAATCAATCGTAGTTCGGTCCGTTGCCATTTGCAGCTGGTTGTTGATTGGTGTACGCACGTAAGGCTATCTGCGCCGCGTGGGGCGCGGCTTTTAGGTGCACGTCCCCTTGAGTTCAGTGGGTCGGCGTCGCCACAGCTCGTCCTACCAGACACTAATTACCAACCTAGTAACTAGCAGTTAGTGGTTGCAACTACTCCGTACTATGGGTACCTATCAAGCTGCATCTCCTTTGTCTCTCGTCATTCTTTCTTCTCAACAACGATCCTGCATAGTTATATTCTACGGGTGCGACGGTGCTCCGGAGCACAGGTAGCAGTGCTACTGGAGAAGCTCACGCCGCATTCACCTTTTCATCATGCCTCTAGCTGCACCGGTCGTGACGACTGGCCCGCCCCGGCCGACTGATCGTGGTGTGCCAGTTGGACTTAATGAAGCTGCTCTCGACTCACCGACGTTCCGCGCAACCGCCAGTCACTTTACCGAGCAAATCGAGGCTGTTGAGAAATGGCTCAACGGCTACGTGAACTCAACATCCAAGTTCGCCCACGAGATCCAGGGGCTCGAAGATACCATCAACACGTATTTGACCAAGACGATGCCGTCGGCCGCCGACGGAATCATTGAAAATGATTACGCTTTTCTGGCCTTGAAACGCGTTGCCGATGGCCAAAGAGAGTGTTGGCAGCAGCTATTAAGCAGCGTTAAGAGAATGGACACTGCCGTTATAGATCCCATTCGGAACTTTCTCAGTGGCGACATGCGAAATTTCAAGGAGATACGGAGGATATTAGAGCAATCGCAAAGGGCTTACGATTCAACTCTCGCGAGATATGTAGGGCAGTCAAAGACAAAGGAACCATCGGCTCTTCGCGAAGATGCCTTTTCCGTATACGAGAATCGAAAAGCGTATATCCAGGCATCGCTAGACTATTGCCAGCTTGCTCCTCAGCTCCGACTGGCTACGGATAAACTTTTGGTAAAGGTGTGCAATGAGATATGGAAAGACCTGACGCGATCGAGAGACGCCGTAGTGAATGCTACCAGATGGACCCGGGAAATGGATCGTGTATGTGGATGGGCCAAGGAGATGGAGGCTTCAGAGGGCGTCTTTCGAACGGAGCTACAAGCTGTGAGAAGGGAGTTAGGAGAGACGACTCTTGAGGGCTTCAAACCTTCTAGAGAGCTCGAAGATTACAGCGCATCCACGGTGCCGTTTTTGGGCTCCCGAGGGCCGCTCAATTTACGACCTAAGGATGGCACTGCGGTCATATCAGAGAAACAGGGCTGGTTGTTTTTGAGGACAATGTCAGGCAAACCGGTTCGGTACAACTGGACTCGGAGGTGGTACTACTGCCGTGATGGCGTCTTTGGATGGTTAGTGCCTGGGCCCCAAGGAGTACTCCAAGGTGACGAAATTGGCGTTTTGCTTTGCAATGCCAAGCCTGCAGTCGGCGAAGAGCGTCGCTTCTGTTTTGAAGTCAAAACAAAGAACCAGACCATGATGGTACAAGCTGAGAACCAAAGGGAACTTATGGAATGGCTTGAAGTTTTTGAGGCCACCAAGAAGAAGGCGTTCGAAACAACTATGGGCAATAATGATAACTCTGTTGCTGGTGGCACTGACCCGGCCTTCTCGATACACCCACCCAGCGCTCCGGAGTTTTCAGCCAAGGCCTTTGATAACCCGACCGGCGCCGTTGATGACGCTGGTCCCGGATTTGATCGAAGCGCAACTCTTTACATACCCGGGCAGGACGCACATGTTGGAGCTCGTCACAGTGTTGACGTTAACAATGCAAGCTTGGGTCGGCGCTCCTTTAGTGCACTAGGAAGAGATTTGGCCCGAGAAGATGACGAAAGCAGGCGAGACCATGCTGCAAGAATCATTCAGAAACTGGACCTTCATAGAAAATCGACATTCGGAGCTGGGGTAGAGCCCGTGCCACTGAGCCCAGGTATGCCAAACAACGGTGTTGCGAGTCTCATATCTGCCAGCCATAACCTGCTGCCCGCTCATTCGGGGACGCAGGCATCTGCGAGTACCCCTAAGCAGCCTTCGGGATTTCTGCCATCGCTGGATACCCCCCCGGGATCTCTTGCTCCCTTGACTTTGGCCAAACCACCGGCTACAACAAGCCTTAGTCGTGCGGCTGTGCTCTTGACGGCCGAGAAACGTTCTGTGTCCAACAGCAGGAAGTTGCCAACGTCAGTCGTTGCAAATTACTGGGGCAGCAATGTCTGGGCCACGATTAATACGCCGGAGCAGCCAGTTTTGCCAAGACGCGACGATGATGATCCAATTGGTGTGGTTTTGGCGCAAAACTCACAGACCAGTCTCCCTGGCGCTGGTAGCCAAGGCCATACTAGCCGTCCACTTCCACGCAATTACCCGACGGAGCTGAGGGCTCAAAATGCCCAGTTTCGCCTGCTCTTCCCGAATGCGCCGCTAGGAGAGAATCCTGTCTTGGTCTTTCGTGCGGCGTGGTCGAGTTCCAAAGAACGAGACTCCCCAAGTGACACTCTTGCTGGAGACGGTAGAATTTATGTCACACCTGATAACATGTACTTTTACAGCCAACAGATGGGCCTAGTCACAGCGTACAGCATTAGCCTTGACATAATTACGGAGGTGACAAGTGCTGCTGGGAGGGACTGTGACTTTATCTTCATACATCTTGGCCAAGACACAAACGACACGGGCTATAGCTGCATTACTGTCAAGGTGTTCTTGGACGACCTCCACCTGCTTCATACTCGTCTGAACCTCCTGGTGGATAACTTGCAAGCCGAGGAGCCCATGGATACACAAGACATTATTTCAGCGTTAATCAACGTTGAGAAGGAAGAATTTGAGCGGCCTAGCCCTGGCGCTGAAAGCTGGGAAGGCGCGTCGCCGATCTCACCCATTGATGATGGTACATCTTCAGGCTTGCCATTAGCAAGAAGCCAGCGTGAATACGGGTCCCATCTTCACCCGTCCAGGTCGCCGCTGCGACTCCCAGGAAAGCTACATCTCCCGTCACGACCCGTCGTCTATGAGCCCGAGAGCATGACACAAATGGCTGCCGAACGGCACTTCGAAATTAGTGCCAAAGCATGCTTCCATGTGCTTTTTGGCGATAAGAGTTTCGTCTTCCCCAAGCTCTACTTCGAACACCGAGCCCAGCAGATTGCGCAGGGACCTTGGGCGCTTGTTGACCAGGGACAAATGCGGCGAGAATTTCGCTTCAAGGTGGACTGTGTTGATATGCTTGGTCGGAAGAAATCGGAGAATGTTATCGACTACCAGAGTATTGACGTATACAGTGACCATGTCACGTACGTTGTGACCAATGTCAAAACAGCATGGCATTTGCCTCATTCGGGTAGCTTCAAGCTGGTGACGAAAATTGTCATTACACATGTGGCAAAATCTAAATGCAAGCTCGCCGCGTACGTCAAGATTGACTGGTCCAAAACGCCAGCACTCTCGAAGAATTTGGTTGAGCGGCAGGCTCTGCGTGACGCTGTCAATGATGCGGAAGAGATGGCAGAGTTGGCGACAGATCAAGTTCGTAAGCTGGGACCTCGAAGCCGAACGAATAGAGCCATCCAGGTATACGGCCATGTTGGCCAGCAGACGCAGGTTGTTGTGTTTTCGCCAGCGGCTGCGGAGTCGAGCAAGAAGCAAGCGATCAAGCCGCGTACACTAACGGCTATGCTATTCGAGACCGTCAGGTCGTTCGGAGAGAGTGCAGTCTCCTCACTCATCATGTGGGCGTTTGCCGGATTGAAGACACTCTTTGGCATCATTACGGCGCAACGGGTCATTGTTATCCTTTTGGGCTTGAGTGCCCTGATGAACCTATTGTTGACTTCGGCAGAGTCTTCAACCTGGTGGAAAGAGCGCAGCGCGGCAAGATTTATGCGACGAATCGGTGTAGCACCCAACCCAATGATGAGCAAAGCAATTTACTTTGCGGATCTGGACGAAGCCACGGGTGCTCACGGGCAGGCATTGAAATTTCCCAAGAACAGTACATGTTTCAGCACGTACAAGAGCATCTTGGACACAACGGAGATTGACATTCCGTGGGATGAAGCCGGCGCCACGCTCTCATCGCCGTCGAGTCGAGCCACTGCACGTAGGCTGCGACGAACGAGACAGCGCTTAGGATCATACCGACACGACTTGATGGTGGCGATGCGCGTAGTCAACAGCATAGAGAGGGAGATGTTGCAGTCTGAATGGGAGAATTGGTTAATCAATGAGAAATCGCTATGCGATGACCTCGACCTGGTGCTGGTGGAAGACGGCAAGGACGAATCAGCCAAGGGCAGCTCACCGAATCAAAAGATTATGGGGCTATTGACGGGAAGTCGGAAGAAGGCATTGCAGGAATGGAGAGATGATTATTGTGGCAGCTGTCGACGGGATTTCGAATCTGTCATCAAGGAGAGAATAGTTTCAGGGGTGTAACTGTGGATTGGCTCGTCTTTATTTAGTATTCCTTTTTGCTCCCCCCCCACAACCCGCTGGACAGGAGGTAGCAATGATTGTAGCATATCATCATAATAAGGTGTTACCATACACCATACCAGTGCTATGCCATGTATTGGCCCCCAACGAAGTCTAGTTTGATGTTGATTTCCCTTCTCCAGTACATTTTGAGCCCAAGACGGCGAGCGTAGCCTTAGCTCACATGTGGCGGCACATGGCTCTTTTTGCAGGCGCAAAGGTTGATGATGGGGGCCGGATGTGCCGAAGCTATCTGGTCGGGTGGAAGAAGTGGTGGCTCCGAGACGTCCGGACTTCGAAGCACTGCATGTTGACGTCAGAGAGGCCAGTTGAACCACTTCTCTTCCGCACCCCGTCCTTGAGCAAGCTCAGATCCAGAACTCGATCAACCAAGACACCACGCGAAGCCTGAACTGACCATCCTAAGGGTCCTCATTGATTGATTCCCTGGAATCTTCCATTCTCCATTCTCCATTCTCCACTTTCCAATCCAACCCTTCCCCCCGAGTTCTCCGCAGACCACTCACTAAGCTACGTAAGCTGGCAACTGGACTCCTCTCCTCCTTGCTCTTCACATCTTGCATATTTTTGCCTGTTCTATGCCTTTCATCTTCGTCTCTACTCCCTCTGGACACGGCTGACCCACGAAGTAGCCTCCGAGCCGCGAAAAGGCATGTCGTCGTCGTCGTCGTCGTGAACAAAATTCGTGGTGCCATGGCGAGCCATCATCAACCGTTCAAGGCCCTAGCGCCCATCAATTGGAACGACGTACCACGTCAAGACTTTCAGTCATTTTTAGACAGCACCTTTGAAGACGCCCACGTCGTCATCGACTCTGTCCCCTCCCCCGGGACACCCGCTGCAAAACCACCTTCCACAGGGCGAGCTCGAGCAAAGACCGATTCCGCTGTAGTATATACAGACATCCAACGATCACTGTCGTTGCACCAATCGCCCGCTGCTGCTGCTTTATCTGCACAACTGCGAAAGGAGTGGAAGGAGATCAAGACAAATCCCAAAGATAACCCCCTGGGCATTACCGTGTACAGGCTAGCTGCGAAAGATGGTAAGGGTGCATGGTTTGCTAGGCGCAGCGTCCATGAGGGCTTGTCCTTTGAGCAGTGGAAATCGGGACTCGAGAGAGAGTTTGCTGAGACTATGAAGGTGCAGGGATCACCGGGAAGCGGCAATATTCGCGGAATTGGCGCCGATAGAAATGTTGAGCATCACGTCGTCGTGGATGCGGGTTGTGTTGATGGTAGTCTACTCCCCCCGTATATAACACCCGACTTTGCTGACGACTGTTCGTTACGCAGTGTTTCAACTGTCTGCTCAGTTCCCAGGACCAACGGCCCCGCGGGACTTCATCACACTACTCCTCACATCCGACTTTTCACATATAAAGTCTGATCAACAGCAACAACAACCACCTTTGCGGCAATACATGGTGGTGTCGAAGCCATGTGTTCACCCTGATTGTCCTCCTCGCCAGGGCATAATTCGAGGACAATACGAGTCAGTGGAAATCATACGAGAAATCCCCGTTAATGGTGATGCCGCCGCAAACAAGAGATCATTCTCTTCGGCTGATTTGCTGGCTGACGGCAGTCGCAAATCAATGTCCCCTAGTCGATCTAGCGATGCCCTCCAGACCCCTCGAGCTATTGAGTGGCTCATGGTGACGAGGAGCGATCCTGGTGGTAGCGTGCCACGGTTCCTAATCGAGAGAGGAACCCCCCCGGGTATTATTGGTGACGCAGCCAAGTTCCTGGACTGGGTCTCATCGACAACCCTTAGGGATGGGACCCCTCGTTCTGCACAGGAGACCAATCAGCGCAATGAGAACAACGAGAAGCCTGGCAATGGCAGTGCCAATGGAAACGTTCCGGCCGTGACAATCAATGATAATGCCCGAACCTCACAAGAGATGTCTTTCAATGGCGATCAAGATAGCAGAGAGCATGAACAAGGATATGGCGAATGGATACCGAGCAGCACTGGTCTGTATGGAATAATTAGTGGTGCATTTGGTGTTGCAGGCTCTATTGCTTCTGGTCTACGATCACAGTTCAGCAACCCACTAAGTTTCAGCAGCAGTCAGGACAGCTTAGCGGGTAGCCAACCTATACCCGAAGAAGATGAAGACGAAGACGACAACGCATCGCAAAGCGACACATCTTCTACTCGCAGCTTCACATCCGCACTTGAGAAAGCTTTGACCCGTGAAAATGCACCTGATAGCACAACTGGCAGCGTCTCTGACGAGTCAAAGTCGCAACGCCTTCAGCCAGCAGAGAAAGATCTCCAGAGGCTCTTGGACCGGCGCCAAAAGCTAGAAAGAAATTATACCCAGTTCCTGGAGCGGATGAAAACAAAGCGTCTTGGCGAAAAAGAAAAAGACGCCGCATCGCAAGCTAAACACCGCGAGAAAATCGACAAGGAAATGGCCAAGCGAGAAGCTAAGCATAAACGCGACATGCGAAAGCTCGAGGAGAAGCGTGAGCAGGAGGAACGGAAGGCAGAAGCGCGGAGGAAAAAGGCCGCTGACAGGCAGGAAAAATCTAGCCTGACGCTGGCGTTGGAGAAAGCCAGGGCGGACAATGATGTTGCAATGAAGCAGATCGAGTTGCTGCGTGGTCAAGTCAGGGAGCTCCAGGCGCAGAACACTATGCTTGTGGCGAAACTAGGGCGTATGGGGGCATTAAATAGGGAGGACTCGTCATCTTCAAAGACGAATTCTATCAAGTCCTTGAAATCTTGACGTACAAACTGGAGCATTTTAGATGCGAGGCGTGTTGATTTCCGGAGCTTTTGTTGATGTTCCAGAAGGGGGCGTTTGGAAATGAGGCATGCTTTTATGACAATATTCACAGCATGGCGTAATGGATCTGAGGGTAATCAATTTGTAGCAAATAGGCTTATTTTTTTGTTATATATCCAATCGTATGCAGACCTGTCTAAAAATCTATCCATGCTTCTGTAAGCAGCTTCGATACCCTCGTGCTCTTGGGTCGTAGCGCCTCTTTTGCCAAAGCAACACCTTGTTCCAGCTCCAAGTAGTTGAACTTCCTACTCAATGCCACAGAGCAGCGGATTAACCGGGTGCAAATAGCAAACACTGTCGGATTCGAAGCCCACCCCAAGGGCCCGTCTTCCAATTCAGCAAGTCTGGGAACTTGCGCAACCCCCCGCTGAACCCAACTTACCAACTTGCCCAAATGCTCATCCTTTTCATCCCATGCAAGGGTGTCGAAAACCTCTACCCACCGCTTTGTCTCACGCACCTCATCAATAAACAGATTATGCTCCTCGACCACAAAAAGCGAGTCGTCAAATTCAAGTGCCCGCGCAAGCTCAACCTCTGCTGGTTCCCAGCTCTCCAGCTTCGTAGCCTGTACGCCAAAGTACCCGACTAAACGGTCTGCTACAATTTCCTTGAATTCTGGTGCAGCGCCGAATTGTGTGGCGAGGAATTGGAGAAGGCGGTTTGCTGCCTCGATGGGGACCAGGGCGGCGCCGATGACGGAATTCGCGGCCAAGGCGGCTACGTCACGGACTTCGTCGTCGTCGTCGTTCAGGAGGTCATAGAGGGAGAGAAGAGCGGGAAGCAATTCCGGGTAGGTTGGGGGTGAGGTGGCGAAGAAAGAAGCGAGGGATAGGGCGGCTGCGAAGCGCGTGTCGAATGTCTGTGGTGGTCAGCACCTCGTCATTACCAGGCATGTGCTTTGCCTTACCTTGTTGTCCAGAGCGGCTTCGGCCATGATTTTGCCCCATGAATGGATGTTGACGGGTGTAGATTTCTCGGGACGGATTAGGGCTGCCATAACAGAGCCGCTTGCTCTGATGACTGCGTTAGAGAGAGCTGGGTTCATGGGACGAGCTGGTAGGCCCAGCCATAGCGCAACCAATGCATCTTTAGGGATCTTATCAAAGGCCTTTTGCTGGAGGAGCTTGTCTGTGATGTCGGCTAAATTTTCCACGGCCAGGACCTGGGCTTCTGAGTAGTTGGTCTGCAGACAGACGTTGACGTATAGGTTGGATAACGAAGCCAGAGTATCCTGTGAGCACAACGACGGGTCCCATACCCTGGGGATGGTCTCGAGAGCAGCTACCAGCCCGTCGAGGCCGACTTCTTGGCTTTGAAGAAGAGACTGAAGCTGTGACACGGGTCCGTCGAGTGTGGACAAGACGTACACATTGTGAACGGCCCGTTGGATTTTCAGAAGAGCAGAACCTCTATTTCTGGGCAAGGTGATACTGAATGGAGATAGTGGGTGGTTGTTTGTGGTTTCGAAGAACCAGATCATGTTTACGACTTCAAGATATGTAGCGATGATGTCGGGACAGTCAGGAAAGCGAGCGTCTACCTTGGTTTGGATAAGGAAGGAGTGAAGTTCCGGGAGGTCAGCTGGATAACGGAGTCAGCTTATTGTTATTCCAAATGGACTACATGGGGATACATACCGAGCAGTCGTTCACAAGCAACTTCGTTTAGTCTCTCAATGACAAACTTCAGAGTCAAGAGTATTCCATGGACGTGGTTCGGCTTATTCCTCGATTCGCTAGTCATTGCAGCATCGAAAATACCTCTGATAACCGCCAACCACTTTTCATGCAGGAGACAGGAGCAAAGCGTACGCGCCGCCATGTCGCGGACATGCCACACAGGACTGGACAGATATGCCGCCACATCGACTTGAATTTCGTCCCGGAGCAAATCTGGAGGCCCTGCTCGACGGATGATGTCCAGAGCAGGAAACACAGACTCTGCAGCAGCTGTGCCTGAAGCAGACGATTCGGAAAGGATCCTGTGCCCAGACTGAAGGAGGTTCTTGAGCACACCAGGCAAATTGGGGTATCTGTGGTAGTGAATGCGGTTTGCCTTGCCATCCCACCCGGCTTCAATCACGGCCTTGCTTTCATGAGTCCCAAACAAGCTGTCAATGAGGCTTCGCAGAAAAATGAGGCCACAGTTCCGGATGGCCCATACCTCGGATCGTAGGCCGCTGGCCGCAAGTTCCAGGCACTGGGGCAAGTAGGATTCCGACTTGTTCCCCAGCGCTATGAGGAGAGAGTTTTTGAAGATGTCTTTGAGGCAGTTGTATGCGTGGACTTGAGGGAGCTTGGATCCATCGGTTTCCGAGGTCTTGGCTTCTCTGGCTGCTATGGCCATGAGGGTGTCCATGACTTGCGCAAAGTTGGGGTGGGAGGCGTTTGCTGCGAGGATTCCAGTGATCATCGACGGAATTCCCGCGGACCGGCGCGTCGTTGATGCTTGGGAGTCGATGGCATTCAGTGTACCCTGAGTCGATCAGCGAAAATACCACCCCATGCATGTCATGTGTAATGGTTTCGAGTTGCCTTTGCTTACCTCGTACCAAATGTCCAACAGACTTCTCTCGTCTTCTTCCAATTGCAGATATTTCGTCTGCTGGCAGCAAGTCGCAAAAGTAGCCGAAACTGTGGTGAACGCGCCTCTGTGACGCAGGGTTGCTAGTTGCGTAAAAGCCAGGTTTCCAATTCTCTCGAATACCTCCTTTGAAGGAATGATCAGGCCATTTCGGGACCTATTTCGAATTGTGAGGATAATCGTGCGCATCAGATTGCTACAAAAAAGATTAACAGCAGTTTCCCAGAAAAGCTATGACGTAGCAGCAGTGTATAGCATACCTTGACTCGTGAACAGCACGGAAACTATAACTTAATAGATCCTTGGTATCAAGTCCATCTACTTCCTCGAGTTCCTGAGGCAAGTGTCCTTCAGGGGAATCATCGCACAGAACATCTCGGACGGCTTTCCATGCTCGCTCACAGCATGATACAATGTCCAGCTGAAGTTTATTCGCCTCATTCGATTCGACTTCAGGGAGTATGATCTCAGAAACAACCTGCCAGGTATGGCATAGTGAAGCAAAATCTCCATGAAGAGGTGCGTTGACGACGGCTTGACCAAGATCCTTCTCTGCCATGGACACCTTGCGGTCCAACTCATTGGCCATAGCTGCCAGCAATTTGATTCTTTCGTCGCCTGATTCGAGAAATCTGTAAAGCAATTGGGACGATTTCGAGGCGCCATCAGAGTGATCAGCTCTGGCTGTTCGACGAGCAAGCTCATTAGCCCGTTGGGACAATTCAGCGATTTCATGGACGGGCACTTTCGTGGTTTCCAATCCTGTGAGTGTAAGCCGGCGATATCGACCGTCGGCGTAGCATTTTGCTAAAGCCGTTGCCGACAAATCTCTGACGTCCTCAAAGGGATTCATGACCAAATCAAACAACGCTCGTGCCCACTTGGCATCCAAACAATTGAAGAAGAGTCCCTGGTCGTCAGATGTCCCCCAGTTTTTATTCGGATCTCCTTCCAAGCGTATTATGTACATTAATGCCTTTAGCGCAGCAATATGCCTCTGGTACGACGCAGTTGGACCTAGCTCCTCACACAAGAAGCCAAGATACCAAGAGAGAAACTCGACATGATAGTCCAAACAATTGGCCAATTGAGCTTCGGGCAAGGAGATCAGGTTCGATTGGTAGAGAATAGGCTGCAAAACGGCATCCTTGTCAGACGAATGAGGAGCGTTCGCTTTCTGCGCCTTGGCTCGAGCTCGTGGAATGCTACGCTTCAGCAAGTGAATAGCACCGCGAACTCTCCTGAACATGTCGCGAGCCTTGGACGCAACATCCACTCTGAACTTGGCATCTGGATCGGCAAAGAATGTGCCCATGTACTTTCTCAGGAGATCAAATGCGACCGGGGAGTAAGGTCGTGTGGTGGAGGGTGATGTAACAAGTAAAGACAGTGCTAGAGATCGAACTTCATGAGAAGGATGGGCCAACACACTCTCTAGAACCTTTTCGTGTAGCGTTATAGATGATTTGTGCTCTACCTGGTCGTTGGCGCTGCCGAGGGCTAATCAAGAAGTTATTAACACTCTGCTGTCAGTACCAAGTGATTGACCCTATCGAACGACTTACCAGGCTCCTCAACAAGACCAACTTTCTTTCCAGTCTCCAGTGCCGCCAATTGAAGAAGCGCAGGAACATCCAAGTTCGTCCCGCTTGCTCCAGAAACTGCCTGGTCCTCATTCATACGTCCCAAAAACGCCAAAGCTTCTGATCTGTCAGCTTTGAATAACGGCAAAAAGATGTAATTCTTGATGGGCTCCAGAAGTGTGGGTTCCTCAGCTAAAGATTGAAGCAGCCATTGGTGCCATATCTCGATGCTAGGAACTGCCCCTACATTCTGCCCCTGTCTCCAGAGACGATAAATTGACACAATCAACTTGCCCGCCGTGGGACGTACAAATTGCAGATGCATCCAGTGAAACAATTCCACAATAAAGTTTCGCCATATTTCAACTTCATCCTGTGTTCGTATATCTGTTCGAAAGGACACATACGTCAGACGAATGTCGCACAGGTTGACTACTCCTTTCGATAGAAAGTGATCTAGCGTCTTAATCGCAGATTTGGCAACAGGTTTGGTAGAACGTCCAATAACAATTGAAATGAGACTATCCAAAACAAATTTCTTGGCCTGCAATGTGGCATCCCGATCTGGGTTTTTGAGAATGCACTGAGCAACGAGGTCGAGCACCAGTTTCATGGACCTATGGGTGTCCGACTCATTCCACTCGATGTAAAAGTTGAACAATTTCAACATCACCTCTTGTGAGAAGGCCCATAGGCGTAAGACATCAGATTTGGACACAGAAGACTGCTCGACAAGTCCGCAAAGTCTCAGACAAGCCTGTCCAGACATTGATTTGGGCTGAGCCGCATCCTTGAGCAGTTTCTCAAAGAGGAGATTTGCATGGCTACGGTGTATAATTAGTCAAGGTTCTTTTCATTTTGAAAAATTACAGAGTACTTACCTTCCTCCCAGTTCCTCATCCTCTTGTTCTAGCCACTTCACCAACTCAACCGGGCTGGCCAATAAATCAGTAACCTCTGCAGGAAGCTCAGGCTTCACCATTTCAGATTGCGCCCGTTAAATTGCGACCGCAATTACATACATAACCAAGTCTGAGACCAGTATGTCATCACAAGCACAAGGCCATAAGAAATGTCGTCTACAAAATATATAACCGTAGCCACCGTCTACAATTCCATGAAAAAGGTCATACTTCAAGGCATGCGGCTCGGAAGTGGTCACGCGTACCTCCACGTGAGAAAAATTTGCCCTGCCGCACACATCCCACCACCAATTGCTGTGAAGTGGGCAGGGTCCCCACACCTCAAAATCACCAAAATCCCTAAACCCACTTGCGGTCTTCGAAAACCCTTCAACAACAAGACCTGTCCTGATTTACCATTAGATAATATTCAATCTATTGGGAGACTGCCAAAATGTCCAAGATCACAGTCGGTACGTTGCGGAACACATTCGACTCTCGATGCGCAATCGCAACAGTCGCCGCTGACCACGCACTACAGCCAATGTCCGGACGCAAGTCGCCGAGCTCTTGGAGTACTCCAACGAGACCAAGAAGCGCAATTTCTTGGAGACCGTCGAGCTCCAGATCGGCCTGAAGAACTATGACCCGCAGCGTGACAAGCGTTTCTCTGGCACCATCAAGCTGCCCAGCGTTCCTCGCCCCAACATGGCCATCTGCATCTTGGGTGACCAGCACGATATCGACCGTGCCAAGCACGGTGGTGTCGACGCCATGTCCGCCGACGACTTGAAGAAGCTGAACAAGAACAAGAAGCTGATCAAGAAGCTCGCCCGCAAGTACGATGCCTTCCTCGCTTCCGATGCTCTTATCAAGCAGATCCCTCGTCTCTTGGGTCCCGGCCTGTCCAAGGGTAAGCAACAACTCCCTCTCCGCCACCAAAGATGCTCACCGCTTCTTCCTACCTCAGCGGAGTTTTATCTCACTCCTCGGTGCTAACACTTAATGCAACAGCCGGCAAGTTCCCTACCCCCGTCTCCCACGCCGATGACCTCAGCGGCAAGATCACCGAGGTCAAGTCCACCATCAAGTTCCAGCTCAAGAAGGTTCTCTGCATGGGTGTCGCCGTCGGAAACGTCGCCATGGAGCAGGAGCAGCTCATTAGCAACATCATGCTCGCCATCAACTACCTTGTCTCTCTTCTGAAGAAGGGCTGGCAGAACGTTGGCAGCTTGACCATCAAGGCCTCCATGTCGCCCCCCAAGCGCCTGTACTAAGTCGCTTCAAAAATGAATGGTTCAGATCCTTGTTTTGGGGGAGGTCTTTGATCTGAGTGAACTGGCCGGGAGTTGCTTAGACTAGAATCTCAATACAAGATTCAAGTTGCTGCATTATAGGTTCCTTCCTTTAGCTGTGATATTTGTGAAGTTATAGTCGTAGGTACAAGCCAGGGACTGGATTTCCAGTGGTGCTGAGATACAACGGGCTTTGAAACCGATGCTACGTCACAGTACGGCGCGCTTGGAACACATGACGTGCATGGGTACATATTGTTACGATTTTGTTCGATATTCTAGCTTGAATTACTTAGTTTTTGGACAGCTTTTGGTTACCCTCCACGCAATCAAGCCCCGTCGACCAATCACCCGCGACAGCGTATTCCAAATACCATCATCCCCAAAATCGAGGTCATCCAGGTTCAAATGCTTTCTGTAACGCCAGACTTCTCGGAATCGCAACCCGTGCAATCCCTTGTTTGACAGATACGGGTCCAGCCATGTTGCTGAAGCTGGCGCAATAAGGTATGTCCCATTCTTCTCCTTCAGGTACTCTTGATTACGTCGATCAGCGGGTGTGTCACAAGTGGCGAGCTCCGTCAGTTGTGTGAGCAATGCATCGCCCTTTAGACCCATGACATCCCTTGTTTGCAGAACCTCGTTCTTGCCGTTGAGGAGCCATATCGGGGGGGTGTATGTCTTCCACCAAATGGCCTGGGTCGCGTCTGGTTGCTTGCTCATAAAGACCTGGCCGGGAACGACACCGCCTTGGTGGTAGATGCCCATTAGCACCCCCAAAAATAGGTTGAAGATGATCCATGCTCCTGCCCAAGTCCGCAGCATGGTCTTGTTCTTGGGCAGCTCGACTGATGATAGAATCAGGGGCACGGTTGGCAACAGAAAACGAGCTTCTTGATGCGGAAATATGGATAAGACAAAAAGCCCAGAAATGGCGGAGTAAAGTCTCAGCGACAAATGAGGCTTAGCAAAGACCAAAACAGCTGCAGGTCCAAGGAGCTGCGGAAGGTTTGCCGCTACATGTTGATACCACGGATGTATACCATGCTGGGCAAGATTTGCCGTGTCCGAGTTATAGAGGAAGAAGTTGAGCGGAGTGATGGTAGGTCTGGAGATTAAGTCGGCCCAAGTAACGGGCTCAGATGAGTAGAAAGCGGTATCCAGCGCGATAGCTATTATAGTGGTTATTAAAGCAGCCGAAGCCAGGGCCACAAAAGAAAAAGGTCTGTTTTGATAGTCAGCACAATACTACACGAGTAAGCCTCATGAGTCGAGGAAGAGACCACTGACTTATTGAAAAAATGGGGTATCAAACGAAGGCCAGGAATTAACAAGAACGCTGGCAAGGTGATTCGGTTAAACACTCCGAAGACGGCGACAATCCCGAGCACTGTTGAAGATAAAAGCGACGATTGTTGCTGAAACAAAGGGTCAGTGAGATGTCGCGAAATGAAATGTTGGTAGAGGCAAAATTGCCCAGAAGAGAATCGTCATACCCGAGTATCCACAATGCGCTGAATCAAAACCAAACTCCAAGCTACAACCAGAGTTTCCACAGAATTCGAAAAAGTGTGTGTTTGATATGTCCAGGTGACATACGACGATGCCACCAAGAGCACAGCAACACGTCGATGTCGCGGTGAGGGTATCAGTTCGTGAAGGGCCCAGTCCTCCAAGACAAAGCTAATCAGGAACATGAGAACTCGCAAGGTCCAAAACACAGCGATGGGCGGAATTTCGCCATCATGTCCGTTGCCAATCCACAACCATCGAAGGAGTAGCATCGGCAGCCCATAGACGGGCCATAGTGGGAAGACGCTCCGTATCGGGTGCTCGCTTGTGAACTCCCAGGTTCTTCGGACAGGATAACTGAAGATCTGACCTGTACATTTGACAACATGTTTTGGTCAGCAAAGCCACTCTCACAGGACCACAGCACAAGAGCATGGCGAGCGCGTGACTTGGCCGGACGAGTCTGTCGATACACCAGCGCAACAGCCACAGCTCCACCTTGTACCTGGTGTAGGAATAACACAAACAAGACGGGCGCATGAGCATGAGCATGAGTTTGAGAAAGAAAAGACTCAAACGCGCGGCATCAGGACGGAACAAATATAACGTACCGGCTATAACCTCGGGGCCCTGGAAGTTCTCGTCCGGGTGTAGGTAGCTGGGGGACAGGGCGAACCACAGCCGTATCAGAACGAGAAGCAGGTAAGTGCGCCGCCACATAGTTCAGCAACGGTGCCTCGAGGTAGTCGATGACACGGCAGGCATGAGGTCGCAGATGTAGCGAAAAGCAGGCAAAGACATGGGAGATGAGAAGGATGGCGAGTCGACGTGTGGACGCTTTCAGAGCGGCAGCGCGTATAAAAGCAAATCGACGACGTGGGCGCGACGAAGGTGTGTCAGGCAGGACGAAGTAAGTCGTGGTTAAAAGAGATTACAGAGTAGATGATAATACAAATCAGGTAACCCGAAGCTGAAGCTGAAGGGCTATTCGCGCAGCGCCATCGGCCTGAAGATAAAGGATATGGAGGGCGGGACAAAATATCAACGGGGAACAAGACAGATTAATTAATTTTATCAAGGCGTATGGAGTGAGAGTAAGAGTCGAAGCACTAATATTACGACACACTCAAGCAGGCGATAAGCCACGTTTATTAAAGAGCTGAACTTGGACCAAAAAAAAAAGGTACCCACTTGATGTTCAGAGGGCAAGGGGAGCTTGGGAGCTTGCAAGACTAAAGGGGCAGCCTGGCACCTGGCACCTGGCACCTGGCAACTGGCACGGACATGACATGGAGTAACTTGTACTAATACCCAGCACCTGACAATGATAGAGGATTGTTGTCAGCAGGGGGAGCTCCGATGGCCTGCCTGATCGCATCACGCCTTTGGTCTTTGTTCCTGTTCTCCGTTTTTCCATGGACTTCTCCTTGTATACCCTCTTATTCTTCTCTTCATCTCTTCATTTTGCATTTCCCACATAGGCGTGCCTTTTTGCCGACTCCGGCGTCGTCGACCCTGTCGCCGGACACTCGCGAGACTCGACACCTTGGACTACTGCCTATACGTGTACGGAGCAGATAAAAATACAGAGTGCTAGTGGGCAAACAGACGGGAACGTTTCATGTCAATAGATACCACGAATAGGGGCTCTCCGCCAGCAACAGGAGATGCGGAGTTTGCTTGCAACAAACAATGAGCCAAAAACATGCGTTGGGGGTGTCAGGCACCAGGGGTCTGTGCCCCAAACCCGCCAACCGCCAATCGCTGACCTCTGATATGTGGTATGGTGTTGCTAAAACGGTCGACGGGTCAATTTGAAGGGAGGCTGAGAGGCTGAGTGAGATGCTGAGAGGCTGAGGGGCTCACAGGTTGACGAGTGCGTCAACAGATCAACGGCCCGAAGAATGCTAAAACGTTGATGTCCTCCCCTCCCAGGTCACTAATAAAAGGGCAGAACCGCCGCTAAGCTGGAGACGGCATGGAGCCTAGCGGCCTCGGGACTCGGATACTTGTTATTCTGCACTTCACAGAGTAGATTACGGAGACTCATTGACGCTTTTGACATGGCATCTCGCCACGCCAGGCACGCTCCCCCTGGTCAACAAAAAAACATGGGTCGGCAATCTAACAACACGCACCCAGACAATGGTCCTGGATCCCCGATTCCCGATCCCACCCAGGGAAATGGGCTAGCCAACAGAACTAACCAAGACATTGAAATGGACCAGATTCTTTGTCACGGGAGCCCAGGGCCTCTGAGCTCTGGTTCTGTCCATTCTTCGGCTTTGTTTGGTATCTGAACATTGTTACTGTATGCACAGCGCCTAACTTCTTAAAGTTGATGGCTTCCATTGCTATAATCAGGCGCCGTGCCCAGGACAAGAGAAACCATCCGCAACACCTGGGAAACTTTAGCACGTCACGGACAACCCCAGCTCGCCAGAGACTCAGGTGTTGCTAGACAGCCTTGCCGCCATTACGGTGCAATCTCCTCGGCCGAGCTTGATGCTCCCTTCACCCGTTGTTAGTGTGCGGCGACAGGCTCTGATCTTGGCGTCACTGGCCACAAAGGTATGTCATTGGAGTCTTGCGCCATCAGATCAGGTCAAGAATGGCCCATACACAAAAGAAAGTCGTAACCACTACTCCGTACTTGCGCGAAAAAAGCCTGCCGTTGCAAGGAATGCGCATCGACCTCGGTTGAAACAAGGAATCTAGGAGTATGTTGGGAACGCGCGGAGACAACTACCTACTAGTAGTAGCATACCCGAGGCTGCCGTGCCAGACCCTAATACGGACGGCGGTATACACCAATATCTCGGAGCTAGAACGTTATTGTATTGCAATCTGAGACAAGAGTGAATCGGATTTCTCAAGTGGGTGGGCAGGAAGCCTGGAGAAGCGCTTCGAATCGTGCCAAGTAAGCAAGTGAGAGGCTGGCGCGATTTATAGAGGATGCTTGCAGAGAAGCACAGGTTACGAGGGACGTCTTTTTAACGTTAATTATTCGGCTTGGCAATGGCTATTGAACGATACCGGGGAACTCGTAAAGGTTTGATGAAGGGTAAGGTGTATTAAGCAAGCAGTCAGACCTGTTTAGAAAGGACCCGGCATCATCGAAGTACTCGAGCAGGTTGCGTTCATAAAATGAACGGGGGGGCAGCACGTATTCAATATTCACATCCTTCTATTTAGCATATTCTCTGAGGTGGCCGTATCCATTGAGTAAAGCCATACTGCCTGTGCTCGTCGAATGTAAGTCTGCAGTCTAGACGATAGGCTGCAAGAAAAGGGCTCTTTGGCGTAGTTGGTGACTCGTCGTTAATGAAGCCACAAGAATCAAGCGATGAGCCGCTTGGTGCATGGCCTTCCCAAGTCTGCTTGAATCATGGTGAATTTTGGTTCGCAGAGCGAGCATCAAACATCAATATTGAATGGCTGCATGGGGACTTAGTGCTGGGATTGACAAGGCAGACACCAGTTGGCCGCATAAATTGAGAGGTGGTCGCCAAAGGAGGACAGAACATTGAACGTTGATTGAAAACACTGCGCTTGACATCTGGACCTTGACTGCATGTGGTTCTAAAGTTCAACGACTCCTGCTTTGGCCTCTGCATAAAGTACCTACAATACTTAGTGCGCACCTGTCTACCACCCTAGGGACCTAGTAGGTATGTTCACTCGTTGCAGTTGATGTCAATGCTTTTTGTCTTTTCAACTTGACTTTCTCATCATTACACCACCACTCTTTGGCCAGCCGCCATCATTATTAGGCTCTGCAAGTGCAAAGAATCGTTTTTTTAAAGTTCGAAACAAGGCCCTTCCTCCTGCAGCACAGAGTTCAAAGGGCGCGGTTCCTAATTCAGGGCACGCCTCGCGATTGATCTGAACAGACACACAACTACCTGTGTGCTTTTAATCGGTGGCGACTTTCTCGCTTGCCCGTGACTCTTTCAAGTTTGGTGCAACTTGGATGTGAATAGCACCTCACTGAGCAGAGCACTAAAGCGCTGCACTGAGCACAGTCATCCCACATCAGCTCCATCCGTCCTGTCTGTCCACTGACTGGCTAGCCCGTCTCTTGCCAAACGTTCGAAACCCCGCAGTGGCCCTAGCTGAACTTTGTGCTCTTCTGCCTGCGAACTTGCGAACTCTCTGAAACTAACCTGATCATCTGCAGCTAGCCGGATATATAAGACACTGCCTTGCCCGCCTCAAAAGCAACTGCGCTTTACTGTCTCTATACACGTCACTGCTTTAACCTTTTGATACGCGATCTTCCTCACTCCTAAACATTATCCATTCTCGTTCGTCACAATGTCCGCCGAAGACACGTCGGGTGCCAAGGTCTACTTGGCCTCCAATGATAACGCCACTTTGCAAGTCGGTAGGTGACTTGCTGATTGCTCCCAGCTCTCGCAGGTCCAAGAGTTCTTACTGACTCCTTAGTTAGACCGTGTCGTTGCCCAGCGCTCCATTCTCATCAAGCACATGATGGAGGACATTGGCTATGACACGATCAGCCAGGATAATCCTATCCCAATTCCCAACGTATGTTGCGCCACCCAGCCAGCTTTACCAGCCCTTCTATCACCCTGCCTAATCTACCAGCATCACCGCTAACTCGGGTGCAGGTGAACGAGGCCGTCCTTCGCAAGGTTATCGAGTGGTGCGAGCATCACCGCAACGATCCTCCTCAAGCTCAAGACGATGAATCTGACGGCCGACGACGTACCACCGACATCGAGGAGTGGGACCAGAAGTTCATGCAGGTTGACCAGGAAATGCTGTTTGAGATCATTCTGGTAAGTCCATACTCGATTACCATTTAATCACCATCCATGCCATCAATAATTTCGCAGACTGACCTTCGGCAGGCTGCCAACTACCTTGACATCAAGCCGCTGCTTGATGTCGGCTGCAAGACTGTGGCCAACATGATCAAGGGGAAGTCACCGGAAGAGATCCGCAAGACTTTCAATATTACCAATGACTTTACCCCCGAGGAGGAGGAGCAGATTCGAAGAGAGAATGAGTGGGCCGAGGACCGGTAAGGGACGTAGTCAAGACTCCTCAGGGTGAAGCGCGAGTTGGGAACATCCACGCCTCGAGAAGTGAGCTGGCCCCGACTCATTGGATTTTTATCTTTGGTTTCTTATTTTCTGCTTCGCAAAGGCCACCTCTGCCACGCAACTTGGGCGTTCGTGGGGTTGATTACATGGTATTGACGATGGATTCTACGTTGCTTCTGGTTTACGCTTAAGCACCCTAGCTATGAAGTTGTGAATAAATGACAATTCTAAAACTATTATTTCAATGTCTTCTTGTGTCAATGTGCAAGTGCGATCGTGTATAAGGAAACATGGTCATTCGAGTGAAAACAGTATCAGATCGTCACGCCCTGATGTCATTGCAAAAGGTCACACAACCGTCGCTAGCGTTACAAGGATTATGGACAGTCACGAGGACATTGCAATGTATAGGTGCGGGCTATGAGCCGCAGCGGCGAGCAGAGACAATACCATCTCCGGCAGATACTGGCTACTCCATCTCCCGATGGGTGGCAGATCATTGATGTGCGAGCAATCATCATCTACAGTAGCGTCACCATGTGCAGATCCATTATAGTAATATTTCCCTTTTTATTTCAGAGACATCAAAATCTGTGCATTCCTTCCCTAAACCCGACCGTTTCGTGCAGTAGTGGCGAGAAATTCGCTTTAAACCTGGCAAATAGAATCCTGCCTTATAATCCGGTACGTTTTAACATATCCCCGGTTTCTTCTTTGTTCATCCTTTACGCTCCGAGCAGCAGTAAAGTGAATGCCCTCTTAAAATCCGTGCAAGATAATTTAATCCATCTCATCGTGAAGCCATGGCGAGAAAAGGTGCAATAGTCGGCGACACTTGATGGGTAGAGGAGTCGAGAATTGTCGTAGGCGAAACAGTTTAGATGCCGAGGCGGGTCTTTCTCCAGTGCCGTCTCTTAGCGTTGTAGCTGCGGAAATAAAACCGTGTTAGCAGGCAAGTTTCTATCGGTTCTCCCCTGATGGCCTTGTCCTTGAAAATTCGGATCGACACAGCGGAAATACAGTGAGGAAATGCATACCGGACGGAGTTGTTGGTTCGGAGCCTAATCCATTGAGGCACAGGGCGGTTCTGCTTCTGCGCCTTGGCAAGCTTCTGCTTGGTACGGAAAGACTTGTGGCTCTATTGATAAAGTGTCAGCGTTCCGTGGTGTTTTCTCGGCGACTGGACGAGCGGGGGGTGCATCACACGACGCGCAGAATGATCCGAGAATACAGGAGCGAGCGAAATATGCAATGAGCATTCTCTGAACATGAGCGTCGTCGTGGACGGCGTCGCAGGGCGGCGTACCGGCATCTTGGTTGGCTTTGCGTGTCGAGTCGCTAAGGTGAGGAGGAATTTCGTGGAGTTGAGACTGAGAGGATTTTTGGCCCGCACTCGAGGGCGTAAAACCCTAGCGAGGATGTGTGGTGCGGCTGGTGAGAAGGAGTGTGTGGCTGAGCACCACTGATGTGGCTATTCTTGCCTCAGGCACAAGTTGTCGACTGGTTACTGCGATGGGCTGGGACAGTATGAAACGTTGTGCTGACTAAAATGTGATTAGTCGGCAAACAAAATCACACCGACGATGTATGCAAATTAGTATGTAGTGTGTCCCATTAATTATGTCTAGTGTCTTCAGCCAACCGTAACCAAAAAAGCAGGGCCATACATTTGTCCCTGGCCCGCCGCCCCCAGAAACATCGGGAATGGTGGTAGTGTCTGACAGAGGTTCCAGAATAGGAGACGGATTTCTAATTAATGCTTGCCCCTTCTGTCTAAATTCTTGCCTCGGGACATTGCAAATTTGCAAGCCATCAGGGAAGCACGCAGATAGAGGACGAAGCCAACGAAGCCAGCGGTCATCTTTCTCTTCTCTATTTCAGTCCTTTTCTTGTCATCTGTGTACGATATCCCTCCCCGATTCGTCCGATCAAGTGACCACGTGTGTTGGGGCCCTCTAGAACTACAGCCTGAGCTTTTCCCTGATCCTCGGCACCGAATCTAGCCAACACTAATTTGTTTTTTCCCTGCACTCGCCGTGTACGCAAACATTACAACTTCAGTCACCATGGGCGCGGGCATGTCATGGCTGTCCAACTTGCTTTGGGCGAAGAAGGAGATTAGAATACTGATCTTGGGGCTTGTATGTCGTTGATATTGTAGCAATTCTCCTTGGGAGATGAAATGGGCAGCGACTAACGTGTTGTGAGTTAGGACAATGCCGGCAAAACGACGTTGCTATACAGGCTAAAGGTACGACGTGTCCAGTGTGTTCTGATATTGGAGAACGACCGAATACTAACAGGTATACGAATAGATTGGCGAGGTCGTCACTACGATACCCACAATCGGCTTCAACGTCGAGTCGGTGACATACAAAAACTTAAACTTCAACGTCTGGGTATGTTCGGACACACGTATCAGAATGGTCATGCAAATGAGCAGGAGAACAGCTGCGGCTAACGCTACGCTCTTGCAGGATCTCGGCGGTCAGACAAGCATTCGACCGTACTGGCGATGTTACTACGCCAACACAGCAGCCGTCATCTTCGTCGTCGACTCGACTGATATCGAGCGATTACAAACCGCAGCCGAGGAACTTGCCGCAATGCTAAACGAGGAAGAGCTCAAAGACGCGGCGTTGTTAGTCTTTGCCAACAAACAGGATCAGCCTGGCGCAAAGGGCGCGGGCGAGATTTCGGAAGTGCTACGCCTGGGTGAGCTACGTGACCGGAACTGGAGTATCATGGCGTGCTCTGCTGTTGATGGAAGCGGTATCAATGAAGGGATGGACTGGCTGGTGGTAAGTACACTCCACCGCGGAGTATTGCACATGTACAGGGGATGAATTGCTGACTTTGATGTGCTTGGCAGCAAACGGTTAACCAGGAATAAGCATGGCATACGCGATGGGTTCTTTTTCTTTTTTTGTTATTACGGTTTCCGGAGCCCAATATGTACAACAAAAAAAAACGACGTGATGATAAAGGCTCCCTCACGATTCCGCGCATCATGGTGGACGGCAATCACAACTCATGGGAAGGGGGAACAGAGGAGTTGAGTGTCATTGAGGCGCAGGGTACTGGCAACAAGGGCCGGCCATAGGTTTCTTCCTCTCGACCTGGCAATCATGTTGCAAAAAGACAGGAGGAAGACCAGCAATGAAAACGAGTGCGACGCAGAGTGCGATAAAGACGTAATATAGTACGACGCTTTAATACTACAATCGGGATCTATGGAGGTCCTCTTCCTTCTCTTTCCATGGAGGGATTGTACAGATTCTGATTGAGAACACTATTGTTTCGAGTTAAGTCGACGTCCCCTATTGGCCCCAGCTCAATGCGAAAGACAGATTACACCCAGGTTGATTTGGGGATTTGCGAGGCTGGCAATAATGTGAAGAACAGAGTGGGACGAAACCGAAATCAACTACTGGATAAAGTTGTCTGTCATTGTGGCGTGAGAACAAGGCCTCACCACAGATCGATGCAGGCGATATACTTCAACTCGTGAACGGATGACTGCAGCACTCACGCAAAATTCACGACAAACTAGTATATCTATCCTTTGCCCTCGTGTAGGGTCTAAATGTTTTGCATGGCCCTTACTAAAGATGCGGGTGCGGCAATGGATATGATTCGAGACGACAAAAAAAAAAGCAGTCAACCACCGACATTGCAAGCAGCAATATGCCGTGAAGATCAGAATTCAGTCTGTTGCCATAGTGGAACGGCTAGTTCGGCCTTTCTGGAGATTGATTGTTCGAGATCTGATGTGGTAATAACAAAGAGGGACGGTTGAGCTCGCGGCGAGTCGAGTTCGAGGACGCCGAACGCGATCCCGAAATATCGCCTGCCGAGTCTGACTATCACATGGGAAGCATGGGCAATGCGTTGGTCAAGTAGTGTCGCTTCTCGATGCCGTAGCCTTAATCCCGAAGTGTAAGCGTCACCACCAACCCCAAGGGCCCCAACCCACGCGTGCATCTTGCCAGTGCTACTCATGACATCAACCATCGCAAACAATGTTTCCGATCCAATCGTTCAATTCACAAATCAATCTGGTCAGCATTCGGCAGCGTCTATTCATTGCCTCCAATCACCAAACTGTATGTGAGATCGGCGGCCGAACTCAGTCACCGCGGGGACTGGCAGCGGTGGCACGGAAAGTCGAGACGACTTCGATGATGCTGGATCCCACCGGCAGATAGGTACGGGATGCTGGCGAGGTCCGTTTGTACTGTGAACAACTGGGTTACGATGGGTTCTCTCCATGAATACACTTTTCTCAGGCGGAGCAGTCTAGTATATAGGGCTCGTAGGTACGAAGTGGTCCGGGGATTGGACGTCCTACGTTCGTTCAATCATTCATATCAGCATACATCTTGTCTTGACTTGACTTGCTTGCACCTACTTGTCCGGTATCTAAAGTTTCCGAAGGCGATACTTCATTAAGCCTGCCTTGACATCACTTCTACTAGTTCTCGCAAGACTCTTCTTGATCTGTATCGAATCTCCATTCAAGAAACCGTCACCATGGGTGCCAACGAAGCGAACTCGACATGCCGCTACAATGAGAAGCCCATCTACACAACATCCAATGGTGCTCCCATCGATAATCCGGAAGGATGGCAGCGTCCTGGACCGATGGGGCCCCTGTTACTACAGGACTTTCATCTCATCGATTCCCTGGCTCACTTTGATCGTAAGTTCCTCATCAAACTATAACCAAAAAGCACAATCTTCGCAACATCCCCAAAACCCCCAAACCTTCAACCACCCCCTGAGTCATAAACACAGTATACTAACATGCTTTTGACAGGCGAACGTATTCCGGAACGAGTCATCCATGCCAAAGGCGCCGGTGCATACGGCGAATTCACAGTCACCCACGACGTCACCGACATCACTAGCATCAACATGTTCAACCAAATCGGCAAGAAGACGCCGTGTGTCGCGCGCTTCTCCACCGTCGGCGGCGAAAAGGGCTCCCCAGACTCTGCCCGTGATCCGCGAGGCTTCTCCGTGAAATTCTACACGGAAGAGGGCAACTTTGACTGGGTCTACAACAACACGCCCATCTTCTTCCTTCGGGATCCCACCAAGTTCCCGTTGTTCATCCACACGCAGAAGCGCAACCCGCAGACCAATCTCAAAGATGCCACCATGTTCTGGGACTATCTCTCAACTCACCAGGAAGCCATCCACCAAGTCATGCACCTCTTCTCGGACAGGGGAACGCCGTACTCGTACCGCCATATGAACGGGTATTCCGGCCATACGCACAAGTGGACCAAGCCAGACGGCAGTTTCGTATACACCCAGGTACACCTCAAGAGCGACCAAGGCAGCAAGACCTTCACCAACGAGGAAGCCGGCAAAATGGCCTCGGAAAATCCGGATTGGCACACGCAGGACCTCTTCGAGGCCATCGAGAGAGGCGAAAACCCCAGCTGGACCGTCTACGTGCAAGTCCTCACGCCGCAACAAGCTGAAAAGTTCCGCTGGAACATCTTCGACCTGACCAAGGTCTGGCCGCAAAAGGAGGTGCCCCTCCGGCCGGTCGGGAAGCTCACCCTCAACAGAAACGCCGACAACTACTTCGCCGAGATCGAGCAAGTCGCCTTTTCGCCGTCCCACCTCGTCCCCGGAATCGAGCCGTCCGTCGACCCCGTCCTGCAGTCCCGCCTCTTCTCGTACCCCGACACGCACCGCCACCGCCTAGGTACAAACTACCAACAGATTCCCGTTAACAAGCCCCTGAATGCGTTCAACCCTTTCCAGAGAGATGGCGGCATGGTTGTCAATGGCAACTACGGCGCCAATCCCAACTACCCGAGTTCTTATCGGTCACTGACCTACAAGCCCGTCACGCCGAGCGTCACACATGAGCAGTGGTCTGGTGCGGCCGTCCACGCTCTCTTTGGCGATGTGACGGATGACGACTTTGTCCAGGCCACGGGGCTGTGGGAGGTGTTGGGACGCACGCCTGGCCAGCAGGAGAATTTCATTTCCAACGTGGCAGGCCACTTGTCTGCTGCCCATGTTGATACCCGCAAGAGAACGTATGACATGTTTAGGAGGGTGGACAAGGGACTTGGGAAGGCTATTGAGGAACATACTGAGAAATTGGCCTAGTCTTTTTTTTTCGTATATTACGTACTACGCCTAAGAACGAGACTTCAAGTCCACAATGTAATTTCTAGTGGGTTTGGGATGTGCTTTGGGCAGTCAAGGATTGTTATGTACGGGGAATTGATATGCAAAACATATAGGGTAGTCTCCACAACACACTAATCACCCCTTTCCTGGGGCAGAACATACACCACGAAACGTATCATGTAATCACTGAAAGATACAATACGCATTGGAAAAAAGTTGTTCGTATTTAGATTAACTATAATTCTGCAACGACTGAAGAACAAACGAGCAGGGGGTCCCCTTTGCAGCAGCGGTCCGCTTGTCCTCGGTGTATATAAACCCAATACGCATGACGGACAGTATAGCACACTTTGTCAGGGAGAAAAGGAGCCATTTCTCGCTCCTTTTACCCCCACGAGCATCACACGTATAATGCGGGTGGAAGGGGGAGAATAATATCCAGCATCTCAGTGCCTACAAACCTGCGCTGCAGTCCAGGGGATGACGGTGCCGGGTATGCTGATCTACAGCGTCCGGGAAACGCCAGCCCGTTTGTGGCGGGAGGACTCCTCCTCTACTTTGTCCCAGAAACATTCACAACCGGACCTAAGCTGAAGTCGTGAACATGAATGGGGCCGTAGTTGGGAGAGTCTGAAATCGTAGTGAGATGAGCTACTTGTTGTGCCCTTCATTGCTTCAAACTCTTTCCCTCGTGTTTCGCCGTGATTCAAACGAGAGAATTGACATAAACGGCCGTATTCCCCCAGCCGTGGTAGCTATGCATTCGCTTCAAGGATCGGGCGGCCCCCCACGACTGGTTGGTATGGGCAGAATACTCTCGGGCGGAGTGTAAGAAGCTCAGGGCTGAACGGCACGTCAAAGACGTCGTACCAAGTGCCTTACTGCACAGCACAGTACACTTGGCACGACCCAGCTCTTCGGATAATACCCGAACTCGACCATCACCTTCTCATACCCAAACGTCCAATTCCGGACTAGCCGGAGGACGTTTGGCTATATTATTCCCGTCGACAGCCAGTGTCAGACAAGCTCAGAAACAAATTCCGGATCAGTTTCTAAGACAAGCCTCATAACGAAGTATTAGTGTTGTCGTACGACGGCCGGTTAGAGCAAGTTAGATCCAGAAACCAGTCCAGGGTCTAATCACGCAATCGCTTCCATGTTGACGAGTTGACAAATCGTTTCACATCGATGGAAAGGTCGACATAGCGGCATCAAGCCGCATGATGCATCCTTTAAGTCGATCGTAATCCATTAAATTTCGTCAGTGGTCGTCAGGTGGTCGTAGGTCGTCATCATTACCCATTTCGTTAAGACAAGAACGAGAAGGAAACACAATGAGGAAAAAAAAAAGATGGTGAGGTGCAAGCGTGAGGCTTGTTCAAGGGTATAATCCGTAGAAAGTCTTCGTACAGGCCGCACCAAAATATTGGGCAAAGACTGAAGCTAAAATAAAAGATGAAGTATAGAAGTGTCGGGGAATCAAGAGTCCAACTAGGGAGTCTGTCTCGGAGCCAGGCCGAGTATCGCGCATTGCTGCATATTCCTCTTATCTTTAACCCAAAAAAGGAACCGTAACAAGGACAGAGGGAGAGGTAAAAAAAGAAAGCATAAAGGGGAAACTGTGTCCGAGAAACGAAGGGAAAGTCGCGAACCGCCTCTACTGCTGGTGATCAGAGGCCCTGCCCATTTAGAAACGACCGAGCTAACGGCGTCAGTGCAAGGCGGCGAGGGGGCTTTATAGTATCGGAAATAGTAGTAATCGAAGAACATATTCCGAATCTCAAGCGTGCAATCGCTCGTGCAGTCGCTATGTCGCTGGTAAAAGGACAGGGGCCACGCCAAGACCAAGAAATGCACAGAACCAAGAAAAGAGTAACGCAGCAAAACTTTCAAACCGCTTTGTCTCCCCGAAGAGTGGGTATTTGTCGAGCTTGTTCGAACTCCGTTCCCAATGCAAAAAAAGAAAAACGCCGATCTCAAATGCCGTTTCGATAATGGTTGTCTATGTCGCTGTGTATCAGAGCCTTGTGCGGATGATTGCTTCTAAACTTATTCCCCAGGTCCCGAGAAACATTAAATAGGGCGCAACGGCTCAGTGGCCTATTAAGACGTCGTCACTGCTGGATAACCGTCCCCCGTGACCGGTTGTGGTTGTCACATTATCGTCGCATACTCCTGGTACCGATCCCAACCGAAGCCACCCATGCCAACGCTGACGCCGCATTGCGACGAAGCAAGCATGCTAGGCAAAGGTAGAGCTGCAGGCATGGGGGCGGTCATGGGCGGTGAGGTGAAGTAAAGAGCAGCTGTAGCGTGCGGTTGAGTGAAGGCCGGGTTGGGCGAGGGCATCTGGAGTTCGTTCATGCCCATGGTAGCCCACATTGGAGGGTTGTTGGACTCAGCCGATGTCGAGGGCACACTTGGACTCGACGGCAGGACTCGCCAGGGTTCGACGGCAGGCAGAGAGCTGGGCATTGTCGGCTGCGATGACCACATGTTGTTGACGGGAGAGCTGGGGAGGAGAGGAGGCTGGCGCACAACGTCGACGACGCGAGGGGGTGGAGGCAGCAGAGGCTTCATCAACCCGATGAGGCTGTTCCTCACTTCTTCACTCTTGCCACACAGCAGCTCGCCTGCTCCCTCCTCTTCAAGCCCTTCCAAAGCGCTTACGTGGGTGCGGTAGACAAACTTGTTGATGGCCTGGACAAAGTCTTGGTGGAGCTTTTTGCACTGTTGCTCCTTTTCCGACCAGTCGTAGGTGTTGGCCTTGGCATCAGCGCAGTGGACCTTCTCGTGGTGGTCGACCAAGGCGTCGATGGTATCGGTTGTGAGTTTATAGGCGACTTCGTTGCGCAGGACCATGTCAACGTGAACAATGTAGGCCTCGATGTGAACTAATCGATAGCTGAAGAGCTCCTCGAGAGGCTCCTTGGGCATTTCGGCTTCGGGAAGTTTAGGCAGCATGACGGAAGCGAGGGTCCAGATGGCGTTGGGTGATGACAGGGTTTCGGTCAGGCATCTTTGGTGTTGAGGGACGCTGTTGAGTGGACGCTTCACTTTGTTGACGCGCTTCAAGGTCTGCGTGAGCCAAGGCTCGACCTTGGAGCCCAAAACGACATTGACTGAAGATGCCCTCGGGGCAAAGGCGGCGGCCGAAGCCGGAAGGAGTTGGACAGGCATTCGGAACCGTGAGGCCGTATTGGTCGTAGGGGCGGCGTCGTCGCAAACGGCCGAAACGTGGCGGGGTTCAGCTTTGTTCTGGCGGTACACCGAGGGAGGGGCGGGCCGGCGGCAGGTGGGAACGGAGGAGGAGGGGACGGGACGACGACGAAAAGCACTCTGCGAGGAAACAGAAAAAGACAGTGATAAGAAAAGGAAATGGAGGCAACGGAGCCGAGCAGGGAGTGCCGAGAGCGGTTGGCTTTATGAAGGGATCGCCTGCTGACGGCCGCAGCCAGGAAGAAGAGAAAGGCGGACGAGGGTGTCGTGAGGAGAGAAGAGGAGAGAGCCGGCGACGGGAGGGTGGCGGCGGTGGGGAGATATACTTTGCTCCAGAGTTGTGCACCTGGAGTGAGCGCCAGGCGCGAGTGGCCTGAGGGCCTGAGGGCCAGGCGGGCTTCTGCACCTCTGCAGGTCTGCAACCAGCGCTCAGCAACTGCACCTGCACCTGCACCAGACCTGGGCACCAGGAAGGGCTCAGATGTCCGGCCAGCCACCCATCGATCGGGACTAGCACGGTCGACCAGCGGCATTGCAGCACGGAAGAGTAGTCGGTGGGTATAGCGAGTTACCAGGGACGGAGTGCCCCAGGGCCTGCCCTAGCTCGCAGACAAGAATAGCTCCCTTTCCTGAAAGTGACATGGAGTGGCTGTGGCTCGGCACGGTGGTTTAGCAGCAGCCACAGTTGGGCCCCGCCGCTCGTGCTCACCACATGTGCAGACTTCTTCTTCCATGTCTTCATGCTTTAACAGATCCGGTTGATAACATTGAACCTGGACAACAGCTTCACGCCTGGCGCCTGGCATGTCCGCCTCGTCTTTTCCAGCATGGGAAAGGCCGGCAAGCCCGGCAAGGCCTCCGCGGCCCGGTTTTACCCTCGCCAACGCAAAACGTCGCCATCCATATCCAAGCCGCCGACTATCCCCATCCCCATCCACAATCCACCTGGCCCGAGGCCATGCAAAAGCCATGACTGATCTTTTTTTTTTTCCCTCTTGGTCACGGCATTTGGTACTACTGCAACGTACGGGTCCACCATTATGCAGTCGTGTTTTCAAGCTACCAGCACCCAGTACTACCTCCGCGCGCTCAATCATGGCTGTGCTTTCGACCTGCACGTCGAGCCTCCTCCAGACACGAATATCGGCCGCACACCCCCCTTGCCCCCCTTGCCCCCTTCACCCGAGAAATCCTTTCTTCGGGCGCCCTCATGCGGCGTGTAAGTCTCGTCCTGCCTTGATCTTGTCTAGCTGAAAGCTGCATCGGAGCGCCACACACGCGCCATTGCTCAACTGGCCATGGGATGACTGCATTGTATGTATGTCCGCAGCTTCGGCCCATGTGCATGGCCTTGGGGACCAGCCCAATGCACCCTCAAACTGCCAAAGTGGCTCACTTTGCCGGGCCAGCAGAGGTTGTGACAAGGCGAACAGGTTCTCAAGTCTACGAGCAAAGACACTGGTGCTCTTGGAGTCTCGGACCTTGTGTTAGACATGGAGTGATTGCGCCCATCCAAAGGATTCATGGCCGAAGTGAGAGACGAGCACGTGCTTTTGTTTGTTTTACATTAGACTACTGTGAGCCAACCCGGGAGGTTAGACTGGCCTCAACACAGCCAGCCACTTGCTCCTTCACAGACGGCGCATAAACAACCATTCTATGGCTTGTTTTTCTCTTGAAGAGTCATCCATCTACCAAGCTGTGCAAGACGTGGCTTAACCTGTCCCCAGCCAGCGGCTGCTGAAGACGACCGTTGTCGTTGGATGTGACGCCTCCCAGACACACCAAAATCCAATACCACCTCGCTCGGCGCTTCATCCAACACGGCACATGGTATGGAGTAACGAAGACATCTGACATCTTCCATGGCTCCGAATTCTTCTCTCACTGGCCCATTCTTGTGTGTTTTTTAACTACATATCCTACTCTCCTCTCTACATTATGCTGCTTCTCGTCCTAGGACGGAGCAGTCAACCCCCAGCCTTGCCCCTTCTTGTAGTTATACCTTGCCTCCAAATATGAAAAGTGATACCTATACCCCCTTTCGAGTATTTGTGTTGCACTCCTTGCCTCCTTTTCGAAGAGGAAGCTTGCGCGGCCATCGGTCCGGGCTTACCTGGACCAACAAGAAGGAGGGCAGCCATATCCACGCCCTTCATACCGCCCCATATCCAATACTTGTAGGCCCATTCGGGAATTATGCAGATAAACTAGCGGATTTTTGGCTATCCATGGTGAGATTTAGGGGGTGTGAAAGCACATCCTGCACATCCGTCTCCTGTTCTGCCCTAACCACGGCATAGTTGAACGGGATGATGGATTTCGCAAAGTCAAACTTGACTGATTGCTGTTGGACTAGTGTCACATACGTTGAATATTTAGTCTAGATACCCCCTTGGGTTTTCAGATCATGAGAAAACATTGCCAGCTTGCTTTTGGGTCATTAATGCGTCTTGACTTGTGCCTGGGATCGCCACCTCACCCACATGGGAGCGTCCGGGTACGCGCCGAATGCGTACTTACAGCGGAAATGAGCCTTGGCTAGCGGACCATAAGAGGCCGTCGGCTTCTTCAGCCTTTAAAAGTGACGCCGCTTTGTTATCCAAGCTTCTTGTCCCGAGATCGTTTCCGGGTCCGTAAGAGCCGACAGTTCCTCGTCAATATCTGGCCGTCGAAATAGGTACGTAGTCTTCATATATGTACTTGCTTAGCTACTCATTAACTGTGCCCTGGGGGCGTGAGCATGACGTGCATATTGGCTACATATTACATGTTATGTGTTGTATAGAAGTTATGCAGGTTTGAAATGCGCATACGATCCCAGTCCTTACTAACATCAAACGGAGGCCGAATGCGAGGGCGCCATTTCGAGCCCTCCTATCTCAGGGTTAACAGAGAAAAGTTAGTCGTCTGCTATGCGCGGGGCGACCAGGCATGCAATACAACAAGTTGAGAGAATGGAGTTTGATGTTTTGGTCAATAACCACTTGGCGGCTAGCCCCTGGGCATTCACTTGACTAGCAGTTCCTTGAATCGACTGTCAGTAATCTCGACGGCTTCGACGGGTCGCTCTAGGGAGAAGCCGCTCGGGTGGCGTGTGTATGGCACATCCTTGGAGACTAAAGAGCACCCCGGATTTCCATCAGCCCGTTTCGTCGATAATGTCAGGTCCTGGGATGTGGTTGGACAAGGGCAATCGAGACTCGACAGAGCTAATGCACCGACCAAGGGGAATGGGCTGCTTATTGAGTTTGGAATAAGGAGAGAGTGTGCTAGTACGGGTAAGGGAAATTGGGAAAAGGCGAGTAATAATCATGCCGCTGATGTTGAGGGAATAGGCCAATGCAAGCAAGTAGACTGAGTAGAATGATAGCCATCCATGTTCCCTTTCCCTAGCGGCGGGTGAGAGGTGAGGCGCAAAACGCTTTTGACCGTTGATTGGCTGGATTTTTAAGAGCCAGAACAAGTCAGTGGAGGTGCCAGTGGAGTTGAACTCTCACTTATGGAGAGGTTATTGTTGATTGGCCAGGTTTCAGACGACAGAAGCCAATCATAGTGTCAGGCGTCAACTCGATAGCTTTGAGGCTTTGGCAGGGAGTCAAGGACCCATTCAAGTACTGTACTCCTTTGGAGATGGAACACAAGGGGGTGTGAGCCAGGAAAACCAGTGTCCATGGGAGCAAGGCAACGTTGGAGCAGAAATAGGCAAAACCTCCGTCGTGCGTGTCCCAGATGGTGAACTGAAATACCGAATCAGATGGGTCTTGGATTTATTAACATGGGCACTTATCAGCCCAACCGCAGCCCTATGACTTCCAAGTTGGGAAATCTGAGCTGTAGGATGATCGCTGAGATGGGAACTTCTGTCCTTCTTCGGCGCCTGCTCGGTGAAGATAGACTTTGCTTGTTCGGGGGTCACTGTTAACTTAGTGTAGTGGGATATGAGTTTTTTTCGGTTGCGGGCGTAGGTGACTCGGCTGAGGATGGAATAATACCCGTTAATAGTATTCATGCACCTCGCATGAGGGGTGTGACCGTGCTCATGGCCCAAAACTTCAAGCTTCATATCAAGATATGTCCTTGGCGTTTTGCCCCTTGGGTGTCTACGGTTGCGTAACTAGTTGGGAGCCTATGAAATTCGGGTGGGTTTTGGCTCGTCAGAAGATATGGCACCGGCCTTCGAAGTTTCCTCGCGAGTCTGTTGGCAAGATTGTACAGGCCACTGTTGGTATCAAACGCGGACAGTGAGCTTCGGAGCAGGGTGTGGGTAGAAGAATGGCAGAGCCCGAAGATATCTGATCATGGTCATGTTCATGCTCGCAGTTTGACAGGATTCGTCCCGCAGGCTGGCATGAGCGCATGTGGTGTACAAATGCAAGTGTGAGAAGTGATCAATGTATGTACCAGGCACGAAGAGGAGTCGGGTCAGTTTGTTGGTTCCGCGATTTTGGCGTTCGAGGAAGGAGCGACAGGCACCGACAGGAGCGTGAGGTTGTCTGGAATTGAGGCAATCAAGAAACCAGACGGCTCCACCAACCTGCATGCAGCTCCAGTGCACTCATCGATAATATTTAGCTTTTTCATCAAAAGAGTCGATCGACGGGGTAATTGCCGAGTAGTTAGTCGGCCAACCGTCTGTTTTTACTTTTTTTTCCCTCTCTCAAGACCCCTGAAATCCATCCAACAAGTGAAGGAAGAGAGGGCGCGTGGAGATCAAAACAACACCTGAGGTACGGCGTACAGCCTTTGGCAAAACATGTCTAGTATTAACCACGCCAAGTACGGAGTACACACTAATGCAATACATTCTCTACCTAGATAGGTATCTGACTGACATGATAGTTCGTAATCGACGTGCATAATGACGGCTGAGAAACCCGCTCAGCAATATTTAGCTAATACCAGGTTGCGTGTCGCCACCACAGAGCCAGTCGTACCAAACAGGAGGTTCTCGTGCAATGCATCCAGTGCTCAACTGCTGTCCTTTGATGCCACCATTCTTTTTGGTCCGACTCCACCACTCTGCTGCGCAATTTTGAAGTGCCCAGGTGCCTTGCCGACTGTGTTGCAGGTTCACGCTATGGTATGGTGACGCAGCATTCGACACCCTGTTGCCTGTCTGACGGGCATGAGAACCACAGGACTGGACACGAGCTGGCTCACGACAATCCGAGGTGGTACGTCAACACTTGATTCCTCATAGGACAGAGATTCTCCTCTTTCAACACATTGGGTGAGCCATGGGCTGTGTGGCATCCTCAGGCGGTCGCAGCCGTTACCAGCACGGAGAGAAAAGACACATGAAGACCGCAACAACTCACAAAGGAGGGCAGTCCCCAGAACGGCACAAGAATGGATTGCGCCAATTCAATTTATTGAGTGCTCTATCTGTTTTGCGCCAACAAAGGCCACAATCTCGGTACAACCGCACCCAGCCTGCATGTGTACGATAATTTCTGTTTCTTTGCGTCAACAGTCGCCAAGGTCACGAGTCATTACCGATATATTTCTGCGTCTCTCCCCTTCTGCAGTT